CATTCAAAATCAAAATAGTGGTGGACGACGGCCTTCGCAGAGTGACAAGGGTGAACGATAGCCTTCGCCGGAGTGACGAGCAGCCGCGACGGTGAACGACGAGTGACGAGTGACTGTGAGCGACTGTGAACGGCTATTCATGAAGTTTATTGGGTAAAAGCATTCCAAATGAGAAGGGTCTAATTGTTTCGTCTAGGTTCGTCTTCTTCCTTTCAATGTCTTAATTTGCTACTATTCGAAAATGATTCCTTTACATATATGTCTGTTTTAGATGGTTATGTGCTCGTTATGTTGTGCTGGGTTGGTTTTTTCAATTGCATTCGAAATACTTTTTTGGGTTTTACAAACAAGTGAAAGCCATTTTACTATATCACCATTTTGAGAGAGAGAGAGAGAGACAGCTCAAAATTTTCAAGATGCACTGAATGTAACAGAGACATCTAATTTCCCACATGGGTAGGCTCAAGTGTATTTCTGCAAAAGAAACCCTAGAACCTGTAATGGCTTTGCAGAACATCCATGGAGTCAAATGGATAGTCATTGAAACATACTGAGGAGGTCTATATTTCTACTCTCACATTGTCTAGAACCTGTTATATTTCTACTCTCACATTGTCTATATTTCTACTCAGGATAGTCTAGAACCTGTTACATTGTTTTGTCTTTTTATTCAATTTCTGTCCTTTTCTTTGTGGTTTTGGTGTTTAAATTACTCTTATCCAGAGGTGGGATATGGAAAATGGACCTCAAAATTTTCATCTAAATGACTGAACCAGAGAGAGAGCGAGAAAGCCCTCTAATTTGCTCAATTTTTTCATGTATTCTTGAATTTCAACAGCTTATATCTTCTGGGATTAAAATTATTTGATATATTTTTTACTAGCTTTTCAAATATTTGTTTTCAAGTATGATGAATATGAAATTTGTTGATGATGTAAAAACTTTATCAAATTTTACTTTCAAATGTTTTCATTCTTGATTTATCTATTTAATTTTGTTTTTCTGCTAACTTTATGCATAATCAATATGTTGTATGAATCTGTAAAATTGGACACCGTTATTGTCCCAATTGGGCTATTACCAGTTGCGACCCACACAATGCTCTGCTAATTTTTAGCCTCCACATGTTTCAAACCAGATTTTATTTGCTTGAACATTAAAATTTTAAAAATTATAGGGCAAATAAAATAATTCTGCATACAGTAATTCTGCAGCCTACTTGACATTTTAATAGAGCAGATGAATATTAATTAATATAATGAATTATAACTTCATTATTATTCCAGCTCATTGAGTCAACTGACTGATTATGAAGTGAAAATATATTATGAAGTGAAGGGTCGGGTTGGGAAGAGGCATAGAAAGGCATGGAAGGTGTGGTCTGAACATGTCTATTGATCACTGCTTGGGTGTATTTTTAATGATTGTCCCCTAGAAAGCTTCAG